CTATATAATATCACGCTGCAACTATTAGGAGCGAAGAAATAATGGAAAATGCGGACGAAGTCGCTGGCGGCCACTAGTCGTTTAATAAAATTGCTATTTACCTATTGACTTAATTTAGTTCCACGGATTGATCTATAAATAGTATAATAGGAAATATTTTTTGTGAGCTCGTAATTAATAAAACTAATCAGAATTCTTTTAAAAATCAATATAATGTCGTCGGTAATTACAACAACTAACTAACTATACTCTGACGATAAAATCGATCCCGCATTTTAGGAAGGAAGGAAGGTTGTGAGAAGCCATAAAACCCGTCGAGCATATTCTTATAGGAGATCTTTGGGGGAGGTCTATGCCCAGCAGTGGGTGTCTCTCGGCTGAAGTGATGATGATGATGATGATATACTTATAAAAAAGGCGAAATATGTACCAATGTAAGGACCGTGCCTCGTACTAATCAGTCGTCACTGCCTACCCAGCAAGGAATATAGCGTGAAGATTTTAATAGATAGACAAAGCAATCCTACTTCTTTGTGTTATACTTATTACTAGTTTTACAATAAAGTTTTTGATATAGAAACGTGACAAATTATTTAATTGTATTAATGTGTCTTCTATTTTGATTATTTTATTTTTTTGTGTTTTGACTATATATTTTATTCTGACCTAATTTATTTGCTGACTTTTTTCTGAATGATTTTGTATTAATTTGTAAACTGACGTATCTAAGTGCACTGTATTGCCTATAGACGAATAAATGAGTATGAGTATAAATAGCCATAGAATTCATATGAACCAATGGTAACTGTACAAGTTGGTGAAAAAGTTAGAACCCTCAATTAAATAATTTATCAAAAATACTTAGTTAACGATAAAAATAAGGCCTATGTTGCCTACTAAGGCCCATAGTTTTGATTGACTAGAGTGCTAAAACTTAACTGCAATGGGTATTTTATTTTCTGACCTTACTGATTGAAAACTCTAGTTAAGACGTATTTATTCTATTTGAAAATTTTGCAATCCAAAAATCAAACAGTGGGATTTATTAGGTGAAACAACATAGTTTAAAAAAAACAAGGTACACTTTGTAAATCAATATTATCTAAAGCAACTCAACTGGTTTTATTAGAAGGCTCTCCTAAACCTGGGGTGGTGTAGAGGGTGGCATAATGAGACCAGACAAGCGTGACGAGTCGAACTTAACTGATGTGTCGCTTAGCACCTGTCTTTAATCCCTCAGCACTTAGGATTTGAGGGAACCTTCCAAATTTTTAACAAGCATCCTTTGAAGGTTTTCATAGAAAAAAGTTGATTGAGCACAATCGATAATTATGTTTTTAAAGAGTCTAAACAGCAGGGTGGTATGTTAGAATATTGGACATTTTTTAATAAGGGTTATGAATAATTTTTGGGTGTCTTATATTTAATGCTTATTATCTAAGCGGTTTCTTCTTAAAGTGAAGCATAAAAATATACATATCCAATATTTTTTATTATCTGACTGATGGACTAAATATAATTTAATTTGTTTTACCCAGGATGATCAAGAATAAGGATTCTCGATAGTTCTTGCTAGGGTTGCTGAGCCTTATCGATGCTATCAATTGTAAACATCAAAACAATTTTAACTGGTTACAGAACTCGCTCAACAGCACTTTAAACTATTAAAAAATGTTAAACTTCAAACCTTTTTAAACCTGACTTTATTGACCATTGAGTTCAAAATTCTAAAATCTCGACGCGTACGCTGGCGTAGTCGTCAGCGCCTTCAGTCTGATAACACTTTTGATTGATTGTACTTCGTATTGGCGAAGCTAAGCAATTTTTCGCAAGATCCGGTCATGGGATCGATGACCAAAAACTTCTACTCGAGGAGAAGCCGTTGCGCCATCTGTACAATCGAGCAAGAACTAAAAATTAAAAAAAAAACTAAATCAAACTGTCACTGTGGCATCTAAGTTTGCAATTAAAGAAACGGTTTTTTTAAACGTAGTGGATATTCTCCGACATATAGAATTACTCCGTACTTTATATAATATGACACGTAAACCCGTTGGTTCCAGATGCACCTGTAAGCTTTAACATCCACCAAACTGCATTGAGCCCGCGTAGTGAGTTATGACGTGTTCCCTTGAATCCATTCATAGGAAAGGCCTATGTTTCTACAGTGGATGCATAATTAGGATAAAGATGAAGTTCAAACACAAACTCATATATTGTGGTAACTGACTTGGTGTAAATAGTTTTGAATGCCAAGAATTTTTTAAGTATAAAGTTTTTCATTTCTATCAATGAATATTCTAATTAATTTTACGGTTCTAATTTATTTTCGGAATCGGATGTTTTCTTTATTTATTTTAATTTAAAATTTACTTGGAGTACATTAAGAATATTTCATTATAAAATTTCAAGTAGGATTGTAAACATTTTCTTTTCATACACAAACACTAGCCTATGACATGACATTACTTAAACCATAATTCTTTAATTTATTTTCAAGCGTTACATTATTTTTCTGTCTTCTTAAAAAAGACTATTTTTTAATCTAATCAATTAAAATAAAAAGTAGATGAGTATTATTTATTATATGACGTAATTGATATCACAATAAAAATATATAAAAATAAATAATTCTTCAAAGCCCCAAACACCTTATTATAATCTGAAACAAAACAAAGTAAATCCGTCTATCTGCCTGGCATTGTAAACTATTGGACTTGTGACTAACTTGACTTAGCACTCGTATTTTTTTTTAAGTTGATAAGGACAGATATATTTCTTTGGGTCGGTGATACGTAATCAACGATAATACGTACCTGATAACAAGAGCGCATTCACAGGTTGATACATTAAAAAACTCGCTGTAGGTTTATATTTAAAAAAAAACACAACGAATGTTGTTAATTCATAGATTAAAGGTGTTTATATTTACTAACATATTTGTTTTTAATTGTCAGCCAATCAGTTGCATAAACATCCATTAAAAGTATCATTTGTTTAATGTGACATTACCCATATAAATTTTACATTAATTAGAGCTTAAAAACGTCATTAAACCTTAATGGATGTTTGTGCAACTGATGATAAATCTTACAGAATATTATACTTTTCAAATTTATAAAAACTTGAAACTTTATAAAATGGCGAATTGGGTTCAATGTTAATTGTTTTTCCTTAAAAATATAGTATAAGGTTATTATATTGTTTTCTTTTCTTTTTCAACTTCCTTGACCGAGAGGCTCACACGTTTGAGATGCCGTGTTCGATTCCGGTCATATTGTTGAGTGAAATAATTATTTTGAATGTTGTCTTGATGTTGTGGTTCCTTCATTGTTTCAGATTTTTATAATCCAAGTGCCTTATTGGTTTAAATTTAAATCTGAGCAATGTTTGTGATATTGTTTAATTCTCTTTTATTCAGACAAACGATTCTGAAACTCACGCAGACAAATTGGTTGTCTTTAAAGTAGTAAATAAAACAAGAGATGAAAGAAAAGTAATTCAGATAGGTTAAATATCTGGGAAACTTAGACGTCGCGTTCCGCAATACTATTCTGTTAAAAAACCGTTTGAACTTGACATCAAAGGGCTTCAATGAAACAGAAACTTTATTACTTTTTGAAGTAGGTTTTATTTGAATGCTACGTTCCATATAGAGACCTAGTCTGTTTTTATAACAGAATAGAAAGAAAATACATTTATTAGTCACACAGGTAAATGATAACATACAGTATAAATACATTTGTGTATGAGTGATGGCGAATCGGGACTCTGATACAGTATAAGCCATAGCAGTGTAGATTAACCTTTTACGGCGCTGGTTATAGCACTGCTATAGGAATCTGAAAACTCGGAGTAGCACGGTGGCGTAGTGGATAAGCGCCGCGGCTCGCATTCGCTGTAAAGCAACTTTTTCCATGGTCGGTCACGGGATGGGTCACCGATAATTATTCTCTCGAGCTACTGCATGCATCGGAAGCCATGTTAAGCCGTTGGTTCCGGCGTTTGCAGTCATTAATACCCTCCAATCCGCATTACGCCAGTGTGGAGGGTCATGGCCCAACCTCCTTAACCATCCATATGGAAGGCCTGAATCCTGAAGAGACGAAAAAGGGCTGATGATGATGAAAACTTCTAAGCAATAACTCGCTATACGGTCGTTTACCACTGCGCACACTTTACCAACATGACTACTATTTGTGTACCTAAACATTCATTTTCCGTAATCTCCATATGCGATACCACCTTTATGTGAATAGTATGATATCAAAATGACACTGATAAAGAAGAATTGACGAGTACTTTCGTATTCGTGTCGTTCAGTATACAATAGAGCACAACAACCTGTATTTTTCTGTACAATGTAAAAAAGGACACACCTTTAACTTGACCAAACTTATCCAATTCTTTATCATTACGTACTTAACTACATTAAAGCATGCAGTTTTAGTGCAGTGAGTTTATAATCATTTATAGTTATAATCTATGAACTTTAAAAAAAAGATTGTGTCAATAAGTGAACGAGTGAATGAGTTGATATAAGATGTGAATTTGTTTCTTTTAATTCTAATGGATCCAGGTGAGATTTGATGATAAGCTATTTTTATTATTGTTTCTATGTGAAGAATTTGTACAGATTCAACATATTTTACATCCTATTATCGAATTACCACATTTTTTAATAATAGAGGTTGATGTATACATTTAATTATTTTATTAACGCACTTACTTTTTGCTGTATAAATTGTCACAGGATTTATTTAAGAAATCCAAAAATAAAGAATCTATTTTCAGTGTAGTTTTTGAAAATTCTATGCTTCACCATCCATTTTTTGATACCCGCAAGCTCAAATGGTGGCCTTCTGTGTAATAGTTTTGTTATTGAGGAAAATAGCCAAAAAAATCCACTACCCCCTCTGATCAACGAAATGAGGAAACTCCAAATTTTGAAAAAAATACACTTTACCTTTAGATTATAGGAAAACATTAAAAGTTTATGATTTTTAAAATTAATTATTTATGTGGAAACTTCAGTACACAGGTCCCACTCGCTCATAACAAGTTTTATATTTACTAGATGCAAATTGTCTAATTTTTTTATAAACACTGTTATATTTCAAATTCCAGGTGATATAATACTAGTCACCGCTTGGATGTGGCTTCTACCTTTAGTTGTGCAGGCTGGGGTCACAAGGCGGAAAAGAGAGGACGATGACACTTCTAATCCTTGCATATCATATAAGCTAGATTCTCTCATATATGTAGACTGTACTAATAGAGATTTGACAGAATTACCTAACAGTATCAATGAAAACGTAAGTCATGATTGTCATCATCATCAGCCTCATTACGTCCCTTCAGGACTTAGGCTTCCTCCGCTGACCCAATGAGAATTGGAGGGTTCAAATTCAATGTCAATGTAGCCAGGACCAACGGCTTTACGTGCCTTCCGAAGTACAGAGTAGCTCGAGATAACAATATTGTTGGTTATCCATCCCGAGAACAACCCTTGCGAAAGTTGAATAACGATCGCGGTCTGTGGTGTTTATCCACTACGCCACCGAACTACGAAAGAGAGGAAATGTAAAGAGATAAAGGATAAACCCAAAAAAGGTTTTTGTGTGCATTTGTATGATGACCATTTATGTATGTAATCATATTTATTTTGGACCATTAAGGATAAAAACGATCCATAACTGGGCCTCGATTCTGCTAATAATATCTAAATGGCACTTCAATGGCGTTTCAATAAATACATTATCCAACTGCATCATTCACGTAAAGCCTAGTATTTTTTTATTATTATTTATCAACACAAAATAATATAAAAAAAAACATAAACATATAGTTCCACATTACTTTTGATAAATCTATAATGTAATCATTCTTTGTTATTTTATGATACAGCAATATGAACTGTGTTGCTATTGAAACACTGCTACATGGATACGCTAAAATTAATTACGATAATAGTAGCAGAATAAAATAGCGCATCAACTACGACCCTTTATGACCCAGTTCTTGTTACCAGATTACAAAATAATAAATTTATCTATTGTGATGCGATCAACGCGTAAAATTTAACAGAATTAAGACCTTGGACTTGGTTTTGATCATTGGGCAGCCGTAATTCTGATCGACAACCAACTTCAAAAACTCATGCTTTTAGATACGAACCACGCTCTTCAAGTTGGCCTAATTTTTTTCTAAAAATTTTATTAATTCCGCAACATCAAGTCTGCAACAGTTACTAAACATACAATTTATATTTATAGAGAATTTAAAAAATAGAATTACGAATAATGGATTCTCATACAACAGTAACAAAACTATTTTCAATTTGAAGAAATATCGTTTCACCCTATGTGGACGACATAGGCTATAATCGTCGCAGGCGAAGTCGCGGGAAAAAAGTCCTTGATAAAATTTAATGAATGTCTGTTTCTTTTTCAAACTTGACATTTGCTGTTTTTCAGGTTCAAGTACTGCTTTTATCAAACAACGACTTCATATCGTTCCCACCGCAATTGGAACAATACACGCAGTTAGAGATACTAGATTTCTCAGCGAATCATTTAAGTGGTACACTGCCGAGTTTCATGAACCGTCTTGATAAACTGCACACACTCAATCTGTCCAATAATAACTATGACGTTTGGATGAACTCTGAAACCAGTGTGAGAAAATTAGACCTATCTAAGAACAAAATCAACAACATAGAAGAAGGAGCATTTAGCAAAATGTCAGAACTTCGATACCTCGATCTGTCTGAAAACAGAATCCACGATTTACCACTCACGATATTCCAATCGACAAACAACTTGGAAACTCTAATGTTGTCCAGAAATTACTTCTCCGTTATACCAAGATTCCAATCTCATTCACTGAAAAGTTTACATTTGAATAATTGCCAAATTGCCGAAATACAAGAAAATTCTATAAGCGAAATGGTTTCTTTACTCGAACTGTTTTTGTCTATGAATGAGATAGAAACAATACCAGACAACTTTGCCTCGAATACGCTACAAGAATTAGATTTGAGTTTCAATGATATTGGTACAATTAATGACTATTCTTTCTCATCATTACCGCATCTAGCGGTACTGGACCTGAGGGGAAATAATTTTAAAGAAATTTGGTCGACCTCACATTTCGCCTCAAACCCGTTTTTGAGGGAAGTCCGAGTGAAGGGTAATCGATGGAGTTGCGAAGGATTCCACTTGAATCTGTTGTTGACTTACGAATTTTTAACCAAAGAACCACCAAAAGTGACTGACACGGGTTCTCTGATATGTTATTCGCCGTCGAATGTGACACAAATGAGTTGGCAGCAAGCATACATTCGTACATGGCATCCCAACGAACAAGTAATCGTGTCATACACCTCATTGGCAGTATTTATAGGTGTTATTATAGGAGTGATTATAACGTCTTGCATTTGTCGTACTATTATTCCATTGAGTGCACCTGAGCCTTCACAGCAAACTACGGTCGTAAACGTCAATGGATCAACGTCGCAGCCAACAGCTGAGACTGTCCTTTTGCGTGTTCCTTTGCGTGATGAAGATCTGCCTCCGAGTTACGATGAGGCATTGCTGATGCCTCGACTGAATGCATCTTTCCACTCGCTTCCTGACTTCGTCGAAGAAGAAGAAGAAGAAGATCGGCGTCGCTACCGTAGATCAAGGTCTATTGGTGATCTGACCGAGTATAGACCGAGGACACACGACAGACGCTCCACCAGACGAACGTTACAAATTAATGCAAACAACAATGACAATGAATTTTAATAAAAGATTTCTTGTTTATAATTGTACTGGTATAGTTGGTAACTTAGTGTTAGTTTTTGTAATTTAATGATATTATATAATTTAATAAAATAGTTTTAAGGCATAGTGTTAGTTTTGGTGAGCTTACAGGTGCATCACCTTTTTTTTTTATTTATATCCATTGATAAACCCCAAAGTGTAAGCATTATGTAACGTCCCTCTGCGGCTGCGAATATATAAAAATATGTAATTTGATCAATTCAACAACACAGTTAAATATTTTATGGTTGCTAACGCCATCTTTTTCTGTTACAATTAGGTAACATGAAGGATCTTGCTTACCTACCTACTTCCTAAAAGCATTCTTTTTATGGTGGTTTGCCATTAAAACGCTAGATGTCGTGTTATATAAAAAGTACCAAAATTAATAGGTCTTATTCTGGTTTATTCTATAAATAACACTGTTTTGACCTTTTTACTTTTGTTCTCTGGTTTTGATAATATCGTCATATAAGAAATAGGTGCTCTTAAATTCGTGCTTTACTTATAAAATTGTGTGGTATGCCGCTACTTGAATTTTACATAATAATAATGATGATTTATTTGATTTTAAATGAGGTACACTGTAGATTGAAATATGATTTGAGTTCAGCCCATTTAGCCATCAGCAATGGCATGCAAATCAAACAACTTACACACTTTAATCGATCAAGAATATAAAATATAATTAATTATTTACCGACAGCATTTAAACTTCACTTTAAGTATGATGCTAAAAGTTGCGAGTTTATTCTGGTATATTATTAACTTTTAAAACATAAATAAAGATTATCAGTAGCTTTTAACTTGTGGAATGAGTATATTCTCAAAACAACACTTATCACAACTAATAACATTTTACCATATCAAATAAGTTGAAAGCCCCATTATAGGAGACCTATTTTTCAATGTCCCACCAAAGAAGTAATGAACTTCTTGAAAAACCCTGAAGAAATAGATTACGGGCAGCACTTTCGCCATCAGAGTAAATTTTACGAGTAAACTTTATCTTATGATAAGACGTCACAATTCATTTTGTTCCACACTATCTACACCGTTGGACGGCTCCAATGAACAAAGCAAAAATTAAATTTAAAAAAGTGCTAACATAGATAACATAACAGCCTTAGTCAACGGCCTAATGTGATTAATTATTATTTTTGATAACAAATCATCAAGAGTTTACTTGACTGGTGCTATTGATTAAATGGACGTGATATTACTCTTATCTGGTTTTTGTGAAACATTGGATTCACCTAATAAGGATAGCGAAATGGTAGTAGCTGGTAAGTATTAATACTTCAGCTGGACACCTGAATCATATCACCATTAGATCATGTAGCCATTGCTCCAAGTGAGTCCAATATATAAAACAAGAAATTAGCTTAGCAAGCACCAGCTGAACGAATTTTTATGGAAATTTAACCACAATATTGCTACAAATAAGGTTCAATTTAAAGAATTATTGGACATTAAGAGCGTTTTACTGGAATATTGAGCTTAAATCAGTGGTCATTAAATATTACCAGATGATATTAACTAATAGGACATTAAATTTAATGCATATTTATTATCAAAATGTCATTTGTACTTAAATTTATTACCTATATTAATAATAGAAAAAATGTGATTTCATTAATTTATTTTTATTTATTTTTTTTTATTAAGAAAGTCAACATCTTTCTTTTTTACAATCATTTTGTTTCCGTTTATATATTTAATCTAGCCAATAAAAGAGTTTCATTTCTTGAATAATACAGTACGGTAGCAAAAACAGGTTCCACTTTATGTACATACATACATACCTATTTCTATTATTTTTTTTTTTGGTAGGGAGAAGCTACAATTGTTAGCTATACTATATACATACATAGACATACATACATATGATATACATAAATAAACACATAATATATATATGTAATGAAATTTAGTCTCAGCAGTTCAAGTACTTACATTTTCGTTATCAAGTAATACTATTAAAAGGTTAAAGTTAAAAAATTTACTGCAAAAAAATTACAGCAGCATTAATAATATAAAGATATTTTAACTGATTTGACTATATTTTAATCAAATAGCTATGAATATTTTAGTAAATATATAAGGGTATGAATAAGCGAATGAATTTAGAAGGCATACTTCCTTTTTCTTTAATCGTTGTCATATATTTTCACGTAGAAGTATAATTTAGCAAGGACTTGAATACAGCTACATTTTACAATTTCTCTTCTATAAGTTAATCGAAGCTATAAGTATTATCTGTGAGGAATTGGTTATCACTACTTATGTCATAATAAATGATAACATAAAACTCGTGCTAATAATCGACAAAATTATCAAGAATATTTCCACAATATGCTAAATTGCATTAACTGAATTTTTTTACGAAACGTGAAACGACCCAAATTTGGATCAACAGAACCTACACCTTTATCAATATATGATAACAAAGATAAAATTGTTGTGAGTTAAACACGCAGGTTTAGAAACAATAGTGATTTCACGCAAGGTACGCCCTATATAATTTTTGACCGGTATAAATTACGTGCTTAGAATACTAAAATATCAAAAATGTGCAGGTGTTACGTCCATATCAGATGATCCGTTCCACATACTGCATGATGTCACAGTAGGTTGCGAAATTTTATCGATGCCGTTCGTAATGTTCCAGGCAGTAATGACAAGGCCTCGTGATGTCTGGGCAACGGGCGACGTTAACTCTTCTATTGTTGCTGTCGGTGGTAGGAGCGCAAGTTTTGGATTTTGACGATAGAAACCAAGATGACATCTGCTCAATGTGTACATGTAAAGCAGGTAGAACAGAAATTGACTGTTCTCGTAGAGGGCTCACTATATTTCCCGATGGTATCGATGAAAAGGTATTTTAGTTTATTTTAAATATGTTTAATTATATACTTATTAATTACTTATTTATTGGTGCTTAGAAGATTAAAAAAGGTGTTTTATTTATATTACAGGTGACAAAGCTCAACATGTCAAATAATGATATAAGCGTGTTTCCAGACAGTTTGAGCAAATTACACAATTTGATTACATTGGATGTTAGCGGCAATCGTATAAGTGAATTGAACAAAGATGCATTATTTAATTTAACCGCTCTAGAAGTGTTAGATCTATCTAAGAACAATTTTGAAAATTGGCTCAACTTAAATCCAAACTTTCTTTTAGTTCCGACAAAAAAACTTCAATCTTTAGATCTATCATATAACAAGTTTAGGTCTTTGGATAATCTAGTCAAACAGGAACTGCTTATTAGTTCTTCACTGGAAAGTTTAATTTTGGATCATTGCGAAATAGAATCAATATCTGGTAAATCTTTACTAAGTGGACTGACAAATATAAAAGTTCTGAGATTAAACTTCAATCCCTTGAATAAGATACAGGGGCTCATATCCTCTACATTAAAAAGTCTACACCTGAGCAACTGTCAACTAACGACAGTTAATCAAGATGAATTAGCTTACTTACCTTCTTTAATATATTTAAAAATGTCACACAATTATAGGTTGGAATTAGCAGCATCCACATATTCATTATACTCATCTTCCTTAAGATTTTTAGATATATCTTATTGCAATGTCTTACATCCAAATCTTCAAGGATTTCCTAATTTGAAAAAAGCAATCATTAATCATAATATGATTAGATACTTACGAAGTTACGAATTTAGAAATAATACGAAATTGGAATACCTTGATTTATCATATAACAATATTGGATCTATGCGAGTTGACAGTTTTAGAGGTCTGAGTATGCTCAAATATTTAGATCTATCGTGGAATGAAATCGCGTTGATACCAGAAGGTACCTTGTCAGAAATGCCATTTTTAACTCAGTTTAAATTAGCTAGAAACTATTTAAGTCAAGTTGGACACATGAAATCAACATCGATTACAGTATTAGATATGAGCTCTTGTGAGATTAATTCAATTGGAAAAGATTCTTTGGAAGGCTTACAGTCACTAATTGATTTAGATTTATCGAGAAATCTTATATCTCATATTCCTGATAGTATTTCTTCAAATACCCTTAGGTATTTAAATTTGAATTACAATAGGATTAGCCATATAAATAATTTCACGTTTTTTATGTTACCTCGTCTCACAGGATTAGCAGTTATAGGAAACCGCTTTACAAACATATGGAAGAAATCATATTTTGAGTCAAATCCTTACTTAGAAAGATTAGACTTAAGTGACAATATGTGGAGATGTGACTGTAATGATCCTAATATGTACGATTTCTACGAATTTGCAACATTAGAACCTTTTAAAAAAGAAGAATCCTACAATCTTGTATGCAGTAGCCCAACAAATCTAATTAGTCAAACATGGTTAGAAGCGTGCTACTTTACATGGTATCCAAGTCAAAATGTAGCCAACGCAAACAGTTTGATTTGGTTTATTGTTATAATGATAACTGGATTGTCCTTCTGTATTTTACTAGTGAATTGTATCCGAAATTCAATGAAACGACGGTTACTTGCTATTCAACAAGAAAGAGAACGACAAGTTGAGGAAGCTAGGCGAAGACTGAGAGAGCTTAGAATGCGTGCTGAGCAGGAATCATTAACTAATGCACCAGACCCTCGAGACCTTGTTTCACCTCCTTCATATGATGAAGCTCTCTCAATGCCTAAACTGAATGTTTCAACACATTCCCTCTGCGAAACAGGTACCGGTAAAACTAAAAGGAAAAGAGGGCGTAGAAAGACAAAATCAAGTGGGGATTTACTGGAAGAAACTGAAAGAAATGGCGATTTGCCTGTATTAGAAGACTCGGAACCTATTTCAGATGATAACAGAAGACGACGGCGAAGAAGACCCAAAAGATTTGGGAGTCATGAAATAGCTGAACTGGATCATTCGCCAGGAGCCCGTCGTAGACGAATGTCCGAGGTCGGTGGTGGTGAAGAATCTGTCACTGTAGAAGTGGAAATGTCACGACCATTACGCCCTAGGAATCGCAGATATTCTAGTGATGATAATGAGCCAAGAGAAAGTGATTTTTAAACATGAGCCTATAAGGTATATTTTCTATTTATGGATAATATTTAAGGATTTGTAGATATTAGGATTACTTGAAGACTTTTTATAACCTTTAGTTTAAAAATATAAGTATTAAAAATAATAGTAACAAATTAATATATTTGAAGTAAGAATAATTAATGTCTTTTTATTTCAACTTTCTCTGATTACTACCTAAAGAGTTCATGTATGTTCATATTCGAATAATCTTCCTGTGCTGCATAAGTGAAGCAGTAGTAGTAGGTAAGTACAATCATGACTACTAGCCTTTTAATGTCCCCAATGCTAGGGCGTAGGCCTTTCCTATGAATTGTATCGAATTGAATAGGGAGAATAGCATCATGGTCCACCGATCCATGCGGTCCCAGTACGCATTGGTGGGAGTTAGCAACTGTAGATACTCCGGGACCGTTGGCTCATTGTGACTACCGAGGCACGGAGGAACTCAAGATAATGCATAACGGTGTTATCCTAGTGGCCTTTGTGAAACTTGTTAACTTCCTCATCGCAGAACCAACGCACTGACCACTGCACCATCGACTAAGTATAATCCATATTACATTATTGTTAGAATTGAAATGATACTGCCCGATATCATCCCTTTTGCCTCTAAATATTGTTCTGATTTGATGACTTAAATAATCGATGAAAAAAAAACATTGGAGAATATTTTTATTGATTATTAACTTTGCAAGTTAACTAATTTTCATGGATAATTAATGAATACATGATGTTCGTCATAAATGCTACCTTAAAAAAAGTGGTAAATTAAAACAGAATTTAAATTAAAAAAAAAATTAATACTGTCAAACCTACTTGATTTTGAATGTGAATATCCTGGCAGAGTGTAGTCATATATTTAAAAAATATATTTTTAAATAGTGGGACATTATTTCGGATGTCTTCTCAACTTGCAATAGCACTATGTTACTCTACTGTTATTAATCAAATAAATAAGTACCCTAATGGCACCATGAGTATAAAGTTCCATTTCTATCACGCCTATTTCACCTTTTGTGTTATGTTGATGCTGACTATGGAAACAATCTTGTGGACCAACGTTCATACACCGGTTTTGTATTACTCATGAGCGGCACCCCTATATAATGGGAAGCTCGCATGCAGCGCACAGTCGCGCTTTCTAAGTGGCTTTGACAGATGTTTGCAAAGGGGCTATATACTTCAAGACGCTCATTATCATACACACTGACAATTAAAGCTCAATCAAACTGGCACACAATAATACGTACCACGCACACACTAAATATATCGACATTATTATAAAACATATTTAAGCAAAGTGCTTATTCGTATATTGATAATTGTCGCATCTATCATCTCCTTACTTTGGAAGAAAGGCGGGAACTGCTTGATATGGGCTTAATGTATGACGTGGTGAGTGGACGTCTGGGTTGTCCCAGTCTCCTCTCCCGCATATCGTTGTGCATGTAGTCGCGTCGTACAAGACATACACCACTATTTCATGTACCCTCTCACTCGCCTAATTATGGACGAAATTCCATACTAACACGCCTTTTAAGAAATTATAATATAAAATTTAAAGACTTCAATCCTTTTGTCATTTCTAAGCAGTCATTTAAATAATATATTTACGCCGTTCTTTTAGAATAGAATCTAGGATATACCTGCGGAATGCCACAACATAATTAAATTTTTGTGTAGGTAGGTAAATTTTACATATTGCTGCAATTTTATAAGCGGCCATCGATTCCAGGTACATTATAATGTATAGATTATCAATATTATATAACATCATAAACTATTTATATATATAACAACATAATTGATTTACGTATAATACATATATATGTTAAAATTGTCGGGTGTTTTATGTATGTGTATAAATTTAAATTATATGTACATATATTTAAATATTATTTTGAACCTCACCACAAGCATAATAGATTTTTATTGTGTTATACTTACTGTGTTATACCAAAACTGCTCTCAATTTTTAGAAGTGAGTTAATTTCATGGATAGCTATTATTTTGTGTCTATATATATATTGTGTAAATTTAGACTTAAATGAGTGTATATAATACGTTTTCATTAAGTGTACATAAACCTATGGTGCTATATTTTTTATCCTTGTTTTAAATACAGGCTGTACTTGGTTTTCAATGTGAACATTAGCGCCATCTATGAATACTTTCTAGAACCTTCGTTTATTGAAATGAAGTGAATAGTGCGTAAACGTAAGGTAAGGTGCTAATAGCATAGATGGCGCTAATAGTTAATGATGGTTTTGCTTGCACACTATAATATTTTTATAACAATAAATTGTAATTTTAACTTACTTTTTGGAGTTCACTTCAGCTAACAAATATTAAATGCATAAAAAATCCCTGGTTGGCTGTATCACTGATACAGCCATATTTTTTTATGCGTGGATACGTCTATGTATGAATGGATATATGACTAATTAATAAAAAATAAATAAATAAACAAATTGAAGACACTAAACACTAAATAAATAAATATTCGTTGCGTTCATTTGTTGAATGAAAAAGTATTCACTAGCGCCAATAGATGGCGTTAGTGCATATACTCCTGCTGACAGAATGCCCATCCCCCTGCAGAGCAAGCATAGTTCACTTATACGCCAAAATATGGCGTTAGTGCATAAGCTCCTGCTCACAGAATGACCCCCTATAGAACGAAAACATAGACGTATTCCACGTCAAAAAATACTGCATGCCTAGCTAGGTAAGACTAGTCATAAAATAACTATGACATCTTAAAGATGTCATGACGATATTAAATTTTATACTTTGAAATGTATTATGGTGGATAAAAACACCCTCTTTTTCTCGTATATTTCACTAAGGAGTTAAGTTTATTTGTCTTTCATTTAAGTATATAAAAGTAAATTTTCACACAGATTTTGTAATATTTTATCTACTCAAGCCCAAAATATATAGGATTATTTTTTTTAAATATTGAAAGAATTGTTGATATAAAAGCTTTTATAATTTAGTCCCGAACGACATTTTTCGCAATAGGCATTAAGTTAAACACCGTTATTAAGTTGATTAACTTGCCTGAAGTCCAGTAACTCTCATTTACTGTAAGGTGCCATCCCGAAACTTCCAAAACTAAAATACAAAGTAGGAATAATAATAAAAAAGCATTAAACACTCTTTGACTATATCTTTGAGTTGAAGTTGATACCTAGCTTTGCTATACATTTATATAATAATATTACAATGTCAAACACAGCGCCGTCATAATATTAGAGGTAAAATCAAATAAAAGCTTTATTACCTTTTGATATAGGTAGGTTTTATTGTATTGAACCACTCATACTATGACATCTCTGTGATTTGCTGTTTTTTAAACAGAATAGCACTACAGCTCAGTTTTCTCGGTTTCTAAGTAATAGATAGAAAAAAAAAACAAACACAAACTTGAATCAACCATTTATATCGAATAGTTTCAAATAAAAATACATTATCATCTTGCATAAAACTTCATAATGAATCCCTAACCTCCTAATTTGTTCCAAAATCCTTACTTACAGATTCAGCTTATAAAATTATAGCATATAAATTATTTGCCTATTTAAAATTTAAATAGGCTGTATAGCGAAATTCAATAGAATATTTTAATAGGAAAGCTCATAATAATAGTTCAGTTATTACAAAATAAAATAATATTTTGTTTAAATTAAATAGCACTAGGAAATATACACGATAATAACCAAAATTCAATTTACACATCATGAAGCAGCATTCTCGTAGCTTAAAAATAAATGGTATCACATTCTTAAAATTAATCAATAATATTACTTAAAACAGGAACTTACGTTTAGCCGGACTATAGAGTTAATCTCTACAAATAATGATGAAATCGTGAAAGAAAGAAAGAAACTGATAAGTTTTTCGTTGTTCATATTTTTTGCAGATAAGTACACAACCATTGAATTCTACCGAGTGGAAAATAGAACCAGCATTTCTAAACAATCATTGAGGACATTTAAATTCATAAATACACCTAGGCCAAATCGTAAATGTTGTCAAAATGAAATTACTAAAGAAATACTTTTATTACTAACATGAACATGGCAACATTTTTACACGTATAAAAATATTTCTTAATTATCTCGCATTAAACTCTCATAAATATTTATTTATACTAATAAAATATTAAAATAAAGGCACTGTCGACTACATACACACTTTGGCAGCAAAGTTTCTAGTTTCATCACTCATACCATACTATTCAGTCCTTCGTGCTACTAAGTCCCTTGGAATATGCACACAATAATCACAGAATTTTGCCGATAGTGAAGTAGGTACCTATTTATAGAAAGACACCGATTTATATTCACGCACTACTAAGTAGTTTTTGTACATTTAAGGCAATCTCAAGTGGTCGATTTTCGTGCATTATTATCGTCCATTGGTGTTATGATGATGTCTCCAGCATTAGACCTACTCCTGGTGACTAGTACAGGTGTTTTAGGCTTGGGAGTCTCCGCCATCTTTATACGCACCCTACCCATATCGGGTGAGTACACTGGCACATATTCACGCGACGGTGATAAGAAATCAGAATCTGTAGCTTGGTCCCCATTAAGCAATGGCTGAGAAGCATTTGGATAAATGTCAGGATCGACGTTACCATTCAACCGTAAATTATCTTCCTCTATAGTAGGTACAAAAATTTCTTCACTAGAAAGTGAGCTAGTATCTTTTCGAGAATCTGGCGCGGATTCAAAAGAGGTCTCTTGAAGCGGTAAATTATTATCTTCTGATAAATTATTGTCTTTTGAACTACTTTTATTTTGATTGGTATCTCTGGGGCTATCGGTTCTATGATCATTTTTGTCATTATATTTACCATTAGGCATATCTCCGTTTTCATTTTTCTTTAGAGGTGTCTCATGTGTTGGTACTAATTCATACTTACCATTTACCTTCTTTTCAATGGCAGGTTCGGCAGCGGGTTTACCCAAGAGTGATTTATTCATATCCACCATTTCTTTTGATGCCTTTTCGACATCAGGTTTTTGTTGCCTTAATAATCTTCTGTCTCTTCGTTTTCTCATTTGCCCCTTTACAATTGCGAATCCAATAAGACCGACTAATAAAATCACAATTATTGCAATACACACATAAGTTCCAGTTTTATGGGGAGGGGTTTTATTTTCTGTCGTTGCTGCACCCAAGTTTTCGGAAGCCTGTGTTACTCTTATATGCTCTGAAATCGTTGTATCTCGTGAACTAGGCGTTACAAAGTCTGCAGGTGATTTGGAAGTCGTTTCTGGATTATCCGTTTTCAAGTACCATTCAGGGTCACCTTTATATATAGATGGTGCTCTAGGCATAGGAAATTCAGTTGAACTCAAATCTGTTTCATCGACAATTCTCTCCACTGGCCCAGGAATAAACTCAGACACCGGGGTAGTAGAAAACATTCCAATAATTTCTGTGGTTTCATCGTACTCTTCATGAAATATTAAAGGACTTTCTCCTGAACCAGATCCTTGTCCAGACCCTTCGAGTGTATCTTCCGCATTATGTTCGTGATCAACAGGTATAACTTCATCTGATTTCATTATCGCAGCCAAATTTCTGAAGTTTTGTGGTGGCTCAATCACATCATGGATCGTAGACGATTCAATCTCACCGGACCCTTCAATGGCATCAAATTTCGGAGTACTCGCAGAACGATCTACATTCATATACACATTAGTATCATCATCTTCTGATGTTTGACCTGAGATTACAGTACCGACATCTAAATCACTATTTACGACTAATGACATAGATTTCAAACCAGTAGTTTGTTCACCAATTTGCACAGCATCGATAGGTTGATCGCCCATCATCATATCTAGATAGTTAGGTTCATCTTTTCGTACTTTGCATACGTCTCTTGTTTTTAGCTCCAACCAAGAACGACTCTTAAGTTTCATAGGAGAAGCACATTCGACTTTATCAATAAAAACATTTGCAAGAAGCAAACGGTCTCGTGCTATTATATTTTCACATGAACAATTTAAAGGATTACCCTGTAGTTCTAAGTGTTCCAAGCTGCTTAAGTGTCCCAAATCCGAAGGCACATCGCGTAATAAATTATTCGTTAAATCTAGCGAACTAACACTTTTTGGCAATGTGGAAACTGATAAAATTCGTATTCTATTATGAGCTAAATTTAAATGGACTAACTTCTTTGCGTTGTGCAGGAATTTATTAACATCTGTAATGCCGTTAGTTGACAGATCTAAAGTGACGACTTCGGTTAGACGATCGAGCTCATGGGTCAACTTAGTTATGTTGTTATGCGACAAGTCCAAAATGTTGATATTGTGATGCTTCTGCCGGAGAGTGAACTTGTAGAGTTCGGCGAGATTACTGCAAGTAGCGCGGTGAAGTCCATCCCTGGTAGTGTCACAGACGCATCCACCTGGGCACACATTGGCCAGAGATGGTGCCAGCAGCAAACACACCGACAGGAAGCAGGTATAAACGCGCAACCACATTTTGAATTGATCTCAGCACCTGGAATGGAAAAGGAAATAAAATTTAATACACAACTGATGATCATTAAGCGAGATATGATAATAACAATGGGCGTTTCTATACTGACGTTTCAGTGACTCATCGTAAATTACGTCCACGAGTATTAAGTGCTTATCTATTAGCGGTCAGGTTTTAATATCAAATTTCAACCGCAAATAAACATCTAGCAATTATATGCGTTTGTAAATTTTCATTGGTATATTAAATATAAATGAGGAGTAAAATTTATTATATTTTTATCGAGAGTAAAAGATGTGTGAGTCTAGTGTCGAGTGCCATCTAACTGACAAGGATTTAAAGGTTCTTGTATTTCATAAACCACTAAGCAACATCATAAACGTGTGTATCTAAGACGAGAGCCGCTGGGTTTCAAATAGGTTCTGTTAAGCGAACGGGCTCAATGTAGGCAATTAAATAAATCACAACATCCTTACGAACTGTCGTCTAAATATAGGGCAGAATAACATACGAGTGCTCCCCTGCGGTCCATTACATGCTTCAGTTCAATTATTGCAACTGCTGCACGCGGCAATTTGTATCTGCCGACCGACTTCCTTTCATTCATCGTTTACTAGTTCTGGACCTCGCTTTAGACATCTTTCAATCATCATTTCGAACATTTCTATTACTAAAAACCTGAACTTAAAGCGAGTTATTTTCATAAAATAGCTAGAATTTTTATAAATATTCTTTATGAGATTCTTTTTGAAATAAAAAAAATTTGCCATAATGCCAACTCGTTTGCTGATAAAAACACATGAGCTCGTATTGTTATTGATCTTAGTTACGTAGGTGATAAAAAAGAGCTATTTCTGTCCAAATAACATCCTTAGTGCACTTGGCCGCCGCTCAGGGTCGAAGTGGTTCAATGTTAGGCGAACAGGAAGACGGCTGTTAACCGTTTGTGCTAATGCGACGGCGGCGACACCTAGCGGAACACGCGTGTAGAGAGCCGTATTTAGACCCCCCTTGAATCACTGCAATTTCTTTTGACGAATTCGCTGGTTAACTAGATGTTTTACCGCGACTTCGCGATAATTATAGCTTATGTCACTCGCGTATGATATAGCTTTCCGTAGGTGAAGGAATTTTTCTTTTCGGATCAGTATTTCATTATTTATATTATGTCTTATAATGTATAAAAATAAATGTAGAATTTCCTTTAACATTTAAGAAGTTAACAGACTTCATAAAGAAGATACGAGTAATAAATTAAAAAGTGAAGAAAAACAAAGAAAAAACAATTACATTTCACGATAGATAAGTAATAAATATAAGACTAAATCACATAAATTACTCAGATCCCAAGTATTTATCTAAACATCCGAAACAGTATGGAAGATTTTTCATTTTTATCCGACCGGAAGTCGAAGCTAGGACTGAGGTGGTGACACCTTGAAATCGTTCGAGCCACTAGGCCACAGAGGTCGTTATATAATGTTATCTGACATTTACTTTCTGTACGTTTCATTAACATATAAATAAAAATATAAACATTGACTGTAAAAAGTTGGGCACTATAATATACCGGAATGATAATGACGAAACTTTATGACTCATTTAGTGAGTGACATATTGTGCATAAGCCGGGTGACCATGTACTCGTATTGTCACCTTATTATACATAAATATCATACGTATTGTCGATCAAAATAGATTATACCTACGTAATAAATATCTGTTACTTTCACAATTGTACTATAAATAAAGCTCTAGAATCAATTGGTATTATTAAAATTGTAATCATGCATAAAATTAAATAAAGATCGAAATGTTGATAGACTCAAAAATATTCACCGACCTATTAAATATCAATAACGATACTTCTCTGATATTAAAATATGTATTTATAAAAGCATTACAATTACTTCTCAAATTTTAGGAACAAATTACAATACTGTAAAATAGATTTATATAAACAGAGAAAACATTTTATAATTTTAATCTTGTTTCTAGACAGAAATGTTATAGTTCTGCGTAAACCTTTTTATTTATTGTGAACTACACACGCTTGAATAAATACTGTTTACTATTGTTTTAATATAAATAATTTAAAAAATCTAATTCGATAGATCTCAATAAAGTTTTATTAAAAACAAAATCGATCGATCATCACGATTCGATTATTATTAATCGTTATCTAATCCGAATCATTGAGAAGGATTGATTGTAATCATTTCGACCTTCGTCTATTTAAATACAGCAAATGAACAAATAAAACCTTATCCCTTCAGAAATAAACCGGTCCATATACATTTTTAGATAGCATTGAATGTTTTTAAGGATTAGATTTGTATTAAACTTACACTGGTTGGAAGTTGTTGAAAGAACATCATAAAGTAATTATCATAATATGTATTGCAAAAGTCTTAAGTAATAGTAATAATGCTACAATAGTCTCAATAAAAAAAAATATAAAATTTAATATTATAAACTGCACAAAAATGAGTCACTCTCGTTCACCGAAGATTTTGAACGTGATAGTTTCATATAGTTCTATAATCAAATGAAATGTGTACAAACATGAAGCTCTTTCATATCACTCACTTAAATTTTTAAGTGTTTTAAATATAAACCACTTTCCAAGACTACATTTTTTAAAATTTTAATAAAAATCATAGTTAAACTTGTACACAACGATGTTATTTGCCAAGTTCTAGATCAACGGAAAGTATCCTATAAATTTCAATGTCCTAATATGCGTTTTTTCATTAACAGACTTATCTTATTACCTGAATGTAGAAATTTTATTTTTCACAGCTTCATTGTATACTGTAGAACTGCATATATGATTCAAATTTCAATTTAATATCTCCACGCATTTCCGATATCGACCTTAAGAGATAGTCGACAAAGTGATAATATAATGGATATATATGTAATCATAATGGGATCCAGAAATAACTACAAACGAATTGCATGGTTAATGCATGTATGTACAAGGAAAACACAAATCAAAAACAAAATAGAACGTAGTTAAAAATAAAGTAAGTATAATTAGCAATATATTCCAGGAAACATTGTGGGGAAAAGTTTTCTGATATTAACAAACTATTTCCTACCCATTTTTTCCTGTTATAAATCCGTAACACAATGATAAAGTGGAAAATACGATGTCCAGCTTTCACATCGGTTTGTCTCTTCAATAATCTTTTGGTTTATAAACATCAGACATTCGAAACAATACTGTTTGATGTGTGTTAACTAACTTTTAACTATTACTAAGAAGCGAAACGTGTTTCTTCTGTATGAGAATACACACAACACAAAAGTAAAAGGCACTTACTGAACTTATCATTATTATCAAAATTAACATATTAGGCTATGTACACTACTGATTATTTTTTATCAACGAGACTGGTTGTTTCCGTCGCCGTGCCCCTGTCATTTTTATGAAAATCATCAAATCAAATCAAATCAAAATTTATTTATTCAGTTTAGCCTTTTACAGAGCACTTGTGAAAGTCGAAAACTACGCCATCGGTTCGCAAAACTACGGCGGGAGACCTTGTACTGAGAAGAACCGGCAAGAAACACAGCAAGGGCTGTTTTTTTCTCCCTGTTTTATTTCACACAGAGAAGTCTTATTAAAAAGTGACTTCATTAAAATATGAAGTCACTTTCCATTACAATATTAATCAATATTAACAATATTAATCATGACTTCAAGCACGATGATAGGAGACAAAGAGATACCCTGCTCACCAAAACAGGCGTTGTCTTAATGTCACCACTGCTAAGCTAGGTATTCACCATGGAAAGGATGACATAAAGAGAACGAACAATAAATTATGGCTCATTCTTTATGGCCCCGTAATCTAGTATGAACTGGTAGATGCAGCCGAAACCAATAACTTACGAAGCACAGAAAGCTCTACAGCTCTAGATAGAAAATCTAAAGGTATGTGTAAGGCATTTGAAATGTGAGTGTAACGGAGAATGCTAAGAAAGGAGAAACTCGCAAATTACTCCAGGTTCTAATAGCGACGAAGTGGAAGAAACGAATATCTGGATCTCATTATGAGAAGCCAAAAGAACGAGTTAAAACAATTGATTATTCAAGGAAAGATCAAGGGCAAGCAAAGTAAAAGCAGGAGAAAAGTGTCATGACTTAAAAACTTGCAATAATTATTCAGAAAGAGCACTTAACCGATATTTAAGGCAGGAGTATGAAAGACATAAGAAAAAGGTCAACCATCCGTTTATTCAATGAATTAATGAATGATATTTATTTGTAAGAAAGTGGTCACAGAAACGATGTTAATTATCAAAAAAAGCACACACATTCTGCCGACTTGATCAGCGTACAAATAAGCGTACAAAAAAAATTAATACCTTTAACAATCTAATTAATATTTCTTAATGTCAGATAAAATAAAAAAAAGCTTTCGCAATTAGCCTTCCTGTCAAAAAAAGCTTTCGCAAAGGCTAATTGCGAAAGCTTTTTTTATTTTATGTGTATGGGACTCTCCATCCACACAGACTCGCTCGAAAGCCCATTAAAGCCGTACCGATGCACCCTCACTTTTGGGGTAAGGGCGTCGGGTCTAACCAGGGACTACTCTACCCTAGACTTCAACACCGGAGGAGTCGCCGTCAGCGGCCTTGCGAAACCTATGCTATTGCAGACTGAATAGCGAAGATGTCGCGCTAAGCACGTCGTCCGTTTTGAGCAAAATTTTCTGACTTTGAGAAAACGCGTAGGTACATTTAATCAATAGCTTAACTTACTTTCACCTTACGTAAATAAAAAATACGAAACACAAACTATATAAATAATACCAACCATACAAGAATCCTTATAGAAGATGTGGTCTTTTATCTATTATATTTTTTATACTTTTTTGCTTTCGCCTTTGTCCATTTAGTATAGTTTATTAAAGTCGTATTTTCAATTTTTATCTCCCTGTAGGTTAAAATTTAAAAGACGCTTTAACAAACATGTACCTATTTGTATATTTCATATTTGGCGAGTCTTTTGGTATGCCTACATACAAAATTTCACGGTTTTATCTTTAACAATAATGAACTTCAATAAAACGATTATTGAACATTTTCGCGACAAAGTAACTATATCCTTTCCCGATGTCAACTCTATCTTTGTACGAAATTTCATTAAAATCGGTTCAATGGCTTAGGCGTAACAGTCAAACAGATAGAATACTTTCACGTTTGTAATATAATAGTAGAAATCATTTCACATTAAATATGTTAATGTTTAAGAAGAAACATTATGAGAAATTATTAAGATATTTGTTTTTTTTTTTTTTTAAGTATTAATTAATAATTTCTCACAAGAATATCCTTATAACTGAACAGAATAATGATATTTAAAGATATTAAATGCTAGCTGTTTTTCAGCAACTTCGCCCGCGTAAATTATAACCTATGTCACACGCATATGATGTAGCTTCCTGTCAGTGAAAGAATTTGCATGACCGAATCAGTATTTTCAAAGATACAACGAACAAGCAGACAAAATAAGGAACTTTGTCTATTTATAATATCACTAGGTTTAAGTAGGTGTAGTAATATATGTAGATGTATTATATATCGATACATAGGTACATCCATCTGGATTAATATGATTTTTCTGATAGTGTTATCAGAAACATGAGTTTACATAATGCACATGATAGCAAGAGTATTGGGAAGGTTACAATGAGTTTTTTTTTAACTTAAAAACAACTCTCAAGTGCCGTTGTCTAAAGACGAATATTAACGGGACATTTCTACTATTGAATAACATTTACTCCCACATTATTGTTGGAATAGTCCACTCGGTATTAAGTAACTGTTCACGCTATAAATAATTTACTAGAAAGTCCAAACAAAGGATAATTTTAGATGAAACCAAACAACCACGCTGTCAGCTTTCACAGAGACAATTCTTACAACATTCTATTTGAATTTTGCTTAAAATAAACCGAGTTCCATCACAACTGTTTTTTTCCGTACGTAAGTATATATATAGGTATTTGGGCTTGGGAATTTTAATATTGAATCAATATTTGTAAAGTCAATTGAGCGATTACTTGGAACGCAAAGAATGCATGTAAAAACGGTCGTGCCCAATTGAGAAAAGAAAATATATTAAAATCTTTTTGAACAATACAAGTTTTCGCCTCACCCGCTTTAATGTTTACTCCTTTAATACATGTAAAGGAATTTTAGCAGACAGAAGTCTAAAAACTGTTGTCCTAATTGATTAAAAGAGGGCGCTATCTGGGAAAGAATGATAAAGCAGAAGCAAAGAAGACTTTTTGGTTTTCAATATAGTGCGAAAAGTGGATTATCATTATAGATGATTATTAAAGTGAAGGAATTAAAGAACAAACGTTCAATGTCGTTTCTTTGTTTTTCAGAGCAACACATGGGCTTAATTTCTCGATTTCGAAATTTTAAATAGAACACTCTCTGTCTTATATAAAATTTAATATACAATTACATTACCAGGTATTACTTCTCCCTGTGACAAAAAAAAAATTCAACCCAGAGAAAATACGTAACGGATTCTCCGCCAGCTGACGGGACTGACAAGAGGTGTGTGCAATTCCTCCCCGTTAACGTATCTACTCAGTGGAGGACCCTTAGCAGATTAGCGGGTAAGGGGTTTTTTTTACTAAAAACCCTGGGCATGACCTTTGTCAAGAAGTGCACCGAGAAACTTTAATATAGTCACCGCGACAGTTACTCCCAATATGGTGGACCCTCCCACTTCGCGGATCTCGTTATAAATTACTTAATAGTTAGACTTTATTCCATAGAAACTAATGATTTTATTTAGACACTATCTTAATCTTACCTCATACAGACATTCGCTAAATTCTCCAACGACATACGGAAAGAAAACAGAGTGCACACACAAACATTTAACGCAAACATCACTTTTCAAACAAACGCATGGTATTCATAACACACTCGATTTTCACTTGCTCTATTGAGTTTCGACCGAACACTGCATTCGATGTGAAATGAAACATTTTATTTACGGTACCCAAGGTGAAGTAATGATTGTCCGCTACTGGACGACGTCCAAGTGAAGAGAAATAATTTAGTAAATACATCTCATTCCGTATGGTATTCTGAATGGTGTACACGTGGTTTGCTCCGAACACTAATAGTGATTGATGGTTATCGTGTTTACCTTTGACCTCACAAAAATATATATTTACCCACTGTAACAAAGTTACGCATAACAACAGATTCCGCACGTTTCAGATTACGTAGAAGTATAAAATCATTGAATCCAAGACTCGACCATTAATGACCATTTTAATCACACAGTTTTTCAATGACTCGCGGGACTTGAACCCGCCACCTTTCGGAAGCTTGATAACCTTTGGCAAAAAACCAACATTTATGATACTAAAATTACATTACGAGTAGGATAAATCTTGGAATACCCGTATATGAAAAGTAGTCGTAGATAACTTACAAGTAAACATATTAAAAACAACATATACCTATATCATATTTAGCGATTCCGCCTAAAGCAAACAAATCTCTTCATTATCTTTCAGACCATAGATGATTTACTAGCTGATAAATAAAAACATCTTAGATGTTTACGAGGTGAATAGAATACCGGTTAGTATGTCGTCAGCACTTGCGTCAACTTGACGTTTTAGAAAATCTATTGCATACATTTAACAATACTACTTTGGTTTTAAAATTTGATGCTTCTTTGATTTAGTGCAGATTTGCATGCATAAGTATCAGAACTTGACTCGTTCAATATCAAACCGGATTCAGGGAATATTTCAATGACTTAGCATTTTAAGATAAGATGAAAATATCTAATAATAGATTATAATCCCTAATTATAATTTCGAATAGGAGAAAATGTGTAAATTGTCATTAAGTCGAGAATAGGCCACCTGCTTGCAATTTATATCACTAATTTCTGAATTTGTTTTATAAGGAATATTAAAATAATATGATCTAATGGATTATACCTCCCCTATTATTTAAGTTTATCTTTCAATAAACAATACATGTTATTTAAACACGGAAAAAATAATTGTCTAAAATTAAAGATTGCTAGAGATTATAAACCAGTCGAATAAGCGTCGAATCATTTCGAAAACTAAAAAGATCTGGCTAAAAAACAGACAGACCTTTTTAGTTTTCGAAATGATTCGACGCTATCATAAAAATTACCAACAATTTAATTGGCTTACAGCTAATTTAATTTATTAAATCACATATTGCGACATCAATGCAGGATATTCGAACATTTTACTGGCGAAGATTTTAAACAAGATATGTTTTCCATTAGAGTTGCTCGATGGCGTAGTGGATAAGCGCCAGCTCTGCGCTTCTGGGCGCTTTTGAATTGGCTTTAATTATCCAACTTTTTACGTATAAAGGACTATGGACAGCCTGGACAGCCTATTATACTTCTTTACTTACAGCCCGAAGTATCGACTTCTGAAAATGTAATCTTCGAACTAGTCAAACGAAGGCTAACGACACCTTTCTCCTCACGCTCTGTATTGGCAAGTTGCCAATGCAATAGTCAAGTTCGTTTAGGAAAAACAGGACATGACACTCGTCGGTGAACACGCTCCTTTAATGTAGGGTTGCCCTCAATCCAGGCTTAATCTGGAGATTTTGCGTCCAGGTAATTCCATTGAACAGAGTATTGCATATTGACCGAATAAAAAATGCGTCATTTGATGACAACATAGCAACGCGACGGATTATCGACAGATAAAAAACCAATGGTTTACTCTAAAAAAGTCGCAGCGTTACAAGTTTTGTGACGTAAATTACAGATGGCGACCCAACTTTACGGCGACAATGTCGGAATAAATTATCGTAAGTGTTATTTGGTTTGCGAGTTTACGAGACGCCGTGACGCCGACGATCGCAACTGTTGCCACATTCTTTAGCGAACTCTAAGTCGTTAACTACATCAGAGTTTGAAATAGTACTTTATTTCCTGCATTTAAAGGGAAATAATACGTAAATATCGACTTCTATTACATTTTTTATATTAAACAACATCACATTGCTAGCTTATATTGTGGAAATCTTAAAAAAAAACGAAGGTAACACCCAGACCCGAGACGATATAAAAGTGTATTGCCTACAATAACCTATCTGGGAATCGAACCCGGTACGCCTCATAGATGATGACACCTTCAAAGCGGCGAGCGAACCACTTGGCCACGGAACTCAGTATTAAGTTATTATTATTGCTTCTGAGAGCGTCGAGCTGAAAGGGCTCTTAAATAAGGTCTTTAGCTGAAGGAAAGGCTAACAACTTGTCAGAATAAATAATTTTATAAAGGCCAATATCAATATTAATTATAATAAAATTTAAATTGGAACTTCATCGCTTATTTGTCTTCTATATATGATTTTTTTAATTTCGAATGTGTTATTGAATGACGTTACATCACTATTATAATGACACAATGGGGTCATTGACCATATGTAATTAATACATAAGGCAATTTATACGAACCGTAACGCGATTGTCGATTGTATACATACCTAATTCTATCAGGAGCAGCACTATAATTGAAACCGGTTTATTTCATATAGACAACATTATATCATAACGATGCATTCTGTGTGATTCCTGAACCATGTCTATGAATTTAAAAATTGATACAAGTATACAATCATCCAATAATATGTAAAAGCAAAGTTTTACTTTATTATGAAATTAGTAACTTGTTCAAAATTTAAATAATATAATGTTACTTATTTTAGTCTTGTCAATTTATAGACCGTTATTTGGCAGACTGGTGCCTAAAAGAGGTTTTTATGTAAACCCGTATGACAAGGTCACCAGTGCTTACCGCCTCCGGAGTAATATCAATAGAGTAACATCTTATCTATTTAAAAAGAAAAAACATAGGCCAGCAAAAATAGTTTACACTACATTAACTTAGCAATGAAAAAAAAAAAAGAAATTGAAATGCTGATATATCTTTATCTTGTGTTTAAATGTGATCTTACATAGTCGTAATATGACACAAAGATATTTTAAAACAAATGCAATCATCAGCCGTTTTCGACCGCTCTGCAGGCCTCAGGTTAAGGAGAATGGCTCATGACCCTCCACGATGGCCCAATACGGATTGGAGAGTATTATCAACTGCAAACGCAGCCGAGACCAACAGCTTAACGTGGCTTCCGTAGTTCGACATAATAACTTTTTGCTCATGACCCTCCACGATGGATACGGATTGGAGGGTATTATCAACTGCAAAAGCAGCCGAGACCAACAGCTTAATATGGCTTCCGTAGTTCGACATAATAACTTTTTGCTCATGACCCTCCACGATGGCCCAATACGGATTGGAGAGTATTATCAACTGCAAACGCAGCCGAGACCAACAGCTTAACGTGGCTTCCGTAGCTCGACATAATAACTTTTTGATCACCCATCCCGTGACCGACCCTTGCGAAAGTTGTTTAGTTGATACTAATCGCGAGCTGCGGCGCTTATCCACTTCGCCACCGAGCTACTCATGCAAAAGAATACAATACCTTTAATAATTGCATTTAAAATGGCTATAACTATTGAGAGAGAAAGTCCGTTAAGACAAAAAAGCTTTATCTTAATTCCCTTTCCTAATTAAGGCAATAATAAAAATTTATTATATAATACGGTTAAAAATTAAAAACATGTCGAGTATTTCATAATTATTCACTTAATGTACAACTTAAATAAGAAAAGTAAAAGCTACTTCTATAAAGGCTGTTAACACGCAAAACTTATTTGAAATTAACGAAGTATATTATACCTTTACAAAAAAGAAATATAAAAAAAAACATTCAGTCATCCGCAAAAATCATCAAAAAAAGAGAATCCTTTCTTCCTAAAGTTAGTTATAACTAGCAAACATTTTCTCATAGAGTGACAATTAAGAGTATAACAAGAGTGGGTTCAATATCCAGATGAATGGATTGTCTAAAAATAATATTCCCATATACATACATATTGATACATGTTCGTTCCCTTTTTAAATATACTCGAACGTGGACTAAAACAAGTTTTTGCATCTGACGCGCCACACCTGCTTGCATTTAAGTACCATGGGCTAACAATACTCTTAACTGGTTCATCTTACTACTGCCTAATTATAATACTATATGTGAAGCAGAGTCTCTGTATTCCTAAACTAATATATATTGACTCTGGCCATAAATACTGTTAGAATTAAAAAAAAAAAAAACAAAAACAAAAAGTATTACTTTTGAATTTCGAATTTGTTGTTTTTATATTTCATTGTCTTTTCTTATTTTCGCGCCAATACATTATAATTACCGAGCTGTTGATGAGGTCACAAACAGAGGAGGTTTCATTGTCATGTTTGTGACAGAAAAAGATCAGACCGTCCACGTAGTGTTCGTACGGAAAAGGCGATTAAAGCAGTAAGGGATAGAATTCGAAGAAATCCTGTCCGAAAGCAAAAGATTTTATCTCGGGAGATGAAGATAGCACCTAGAATCATGTCGCGTTTTTTAAAGACGACTTAAGACTTGCAGCCTATAAGAGACATACTAGTCACTTCTTAACAGGTAATTGAAAAGAGAATGGAGTAGTAAAATCAAAACAACTACATGGTACGCAAAGGGATAGAAAAAAATTGTTTACGGAAGAGACAACTTTAACAATAGAACAATATTTTAACAAACAAAATGACAATATTTATGCTCAAAAGTCTAAAAAGGCGTCACTATTAGTCAGCAGAGGACAAAGTGGGTATTATCCTACTTCAGTAATAGTTTGGTAGAATGTTAGCAATAAAGGAGTGACCGAGCCATATTTTTGTGAAAAGGCACCAAAACATCGACGCAAATGTATCGGGATACCATTCTCGAGAAGAAAAAGAATTTTGATTAGAAAAGAACGTTCCAAAATACATCAGAGCTCAAGACTGGTCGTCATCATAAATCGTAATCATGATTTATAGTCAGTCTTAAAGAGTAAGGCT